GGGAGCTGGGAGGGAGGGCGAAGGACCCTGCATTCAGCACCTTGGCCAGCTCCACCTGCGGTCGCCCCCGCCGTCAGCACCTTGGCCAGCTCCGCCTGCGGTCGCCCCTGGCGGGACGGCGCCCGGATTGTTTTGGGGAGAGGAGGGGGGAACCTCAGGAGCACCCCCTGTGTCCCCTCAGCATCCTGGATATCACCGAGCTTCCCGTTGGTTGGGGGGTTTTGGAGGGCAGAAGGTGCCCGGAGTGATCCTGAGAGGTGCCGAGAGTATCTTTGCCTTGCCCCCGGGCCGGGAGGGCACCCTGCGAGCTCTCAGGTTTTCTGCAAGAAATACCCTTCTCTTCCCTTCCCTCCCCAACCCCCCTACCCCGCATTACCTTCGGTTTCCTCAGCCTTGCCCATGTCAGCAACACTGGGGTTGGGCAGCCCTTGTGTGACTTGTCTCGGGCTGTCTTGACCCCACTGAGGGAGACAGCAGTGTGCAAAGTCTCAGGCCTGGGGAAACATAAGGAAGCCCCAGGAGGCAACCCCAGCTTCTCTGGGAGCCTGTTGAGAAGGAGACAGGCGAAAGTGCAAGTGAATGCCGAACTCCCCGTTTCTATTAATAGACTGTGCCTCGCACTCCGACTGAACGCTTAACACACGGGTGAGCGACGTGCGGCACAGCCGTGTCCCCAAGGACACTGCGCCCCAACCAACCTCAACAACAGCTTTGCACAAGGGGCAGTGACCCTCCCCTCCCGCCCCCCCAGTTGCCCTGCAGAGGTAATAAAGAACAAAAGCACCACTTCGGTGTGAGTGAGCACATGACTATTCCCTCCTTTATTCTTTAAATGTCTCCTCCTTTAAGATAGTCCTCCCACTAGGTGTCCTGCTCCGGCATGAGTTCCACATTTCTCCTCCTATTTGTGTGAGCTCTGCTTGACCTTCATAAATAATGCCTCCTTTGCCAGGCCAGGTGAAGAGCAGAATTTTCTTAAATGAATGTGATGCAAGACGCTAAATCAAAGAACATGCCTGCAGCTACTGCGTTACAACCCCATGGAGTACTGTTTGCAGAAGAGGTGTCTATAAATAGCAAGAAGTCTGGCTGCACATCTGTAAACTGTCACAGTGCTGACAGCACATATTGCATTAAAGGTCCCAGGATCCTGGGCAGCATTGCGAGGAGAAGTGTACAAGCACAGCCAGTTCCTTTCAAAGCCATTTTTCAATGGAAATTCTCTTTGGGCAGGGAAAATAGGATAGAGGAGCCCTTTAAATATGCCTTGTCTATTTTAGTTCACTAAGAGTACATTTTCGTTGTTTAACTGCCTTTGTCTTTCTGCTTGTGCAATGCTGCGCGCGCTGCAATGTCAATTTATGGAGAAGGCTTTCTTAATAAGGGCAGTTTCATTGCAATGCTGCATACAGGTTAGGAGAATATTAAAATGTTGTGCTTCCTCTCTTCAGAGTATTCATCAGTGACAGATTTGCGAAATTAGAGCGAAAATATTGCAGATTAGGCATATCCTGCTGTGCTTGCACACAAAAATCAGAAAATCAGAAGAGATACATGCGTAACACCAGCCAAGATATTTTCTTTTTAATTAATTTTCATATTTGTGATGTTAAGACTTAGAAGTGTGCCAAGCAAAATATGCCAAGACCTTTGAAGGTTTTTTACTTGTCAGTTTTCACATCTATATTTAGCAAAGTCATATGATCCCAGTTTGACCTTCAAACCTGTATTTCTCTAACTTTCTCCTGAAGTTAGGAAATGTTCTGTGGCCAAAGGAGTACAGGGCAAAGCATTTCACTTTTGGACTTATCACAGTATGAGAGAAAGTTAGGAACTGGTATGAATTTGCTTCATTTGAAACCAATGGGGTATTCGTAATAAGTGTGATTTGATACTCGCTACGTTTCTGAATGCCATGGTGATAGGCATGATGCAAAAAATGCTTGCTATAATAAGAGATGAAGAGTTAAAACATTTAACAAATGGTCAAAATGTCCCACTTCCAAATCATTCCAAGAACCTTCTGTTTCTTACTCAGATTGATCTGAGCCAATTACATATGTTACAACTTCATAGTAAAATTTTTGTTATTTTTTTTTAAAACCTACCACAGCTAAGAGCATTACTCGAACTTTTGGTCAAATATGGCAAGTATACTGTTCCAGCAGTAGGGCAGTTCAAAAAAATAGATTAAACAAAGAAGATAGACACTGCGTGAGACACTTTTCATTCCCTTAACTATTCTCTGATGAAGATAGTGCTACCTCATTAGCCTAAAGGACTTAAGGAAATGATTACAACGAATACAGATAAGGGAAAACCAAAGTTACAGTAAGACATTACCCAGTGTTTCCCCAAACAAGAATACAAGAGAGTGGAAAAGCAGTAGCTCACTAGTGTTACTTTTCAGTCAAGGAGGACACCTTGTGTTACCAGGAAACTTACCAAAGTGTGCTCCCATGGTACCAGATTGTACAGACATTTGTATCACCAGTATCCCCATAGCCTTATATCTTGATAAAAGACACAGTTAAGTGAATGGAAGTGTTGCCACAGGTGCTGTTGGAATTTGGATCAGGCTCAGAATAATTTTATAATTTTACCATACTGATAAGAGCCTGATATCAGTCTGTCTGCCAGAGTTTGAGTGGAACCAGTGGTTCTTTTGTATGTGTTTATAAGCAGCCTGAGATGCTTTTATACCAGCAGTGCTTGGTATAAAAATAAAAGACAAGGGGAATAAAACCCTAAGTCTTTTCTATTTAGAGGCTGCAGAAGGCCATAGGGGTCCCACTGAGAGGAAGTTTGCTAGTCTGGTTTTGGAGTTATTTGGAGTTCACAGGGAAAAAGAGATTCAGAAAATATTTCCCTTGGCCATTCCATGAACTTCAAGAGAAATTCCATTGGAGCAAAGGCTGTAGAACTTCTCCTCAAGATATATAAAAGCTCCTCTGTATGAAAGTCATCAAAGGAGACTTGTCTAAATAAAACAGTACTGTTTGCATAAATAACAGATCCAGAGTTGAGTTCTCTGCAAATAATTAAAGGCTCTCAGACAGAAAACAAAGTGAAAGAGAAATTTTTCTTTGCAGAACATATGCACAAAGATTCTTGCAAAATTAATGGTGCTGATCTGCTGTAGTTTTCAGTTTCTGGGTCTTTTTATTTAAAATGTATTAAATTGAAGCCATATTAATAGTAAGCCTGATATCAGTGATAGGAAACAAATTGAAAGAAGTGAGATTTCAGAAGAAGTGTGCCTTAATGTAGCTTGTAAACCTATGCCACGTGAAGGGAATAGCACAAAGTGCCAGGATTTATGTGCACATCCAACAGACATATACATCTGCATGTAAGAGGCTAGCTGCTGACTGAAACAATTCTAGAACCTGAAAATGGGCTGGTTTTGTGCAATGCAAGTGCTTAGTAACTTCATAAAAGACAATTCTTATGCTGAAGACTTTGCAGCATCTGTAGAGTGAAAAGCTGCTTCTTTCAATGCTAAGAATAGAAACTTCAGGTAATTTACAAATGGTAGCAAAATAGAGTCCTCCCTGAATTATACAAAGCTTGGGGTTACAGCATCTGTAGAGTGAAAAGATGCTTCTTTCACTGCTAAGAATAGAAACTTCAGGTAGTTTACAAATGGTAGCAAAGTAGGGTCCTCCCTGAATTATACAAAGCTTGGGGTTTGGTTAGAAAAAAAAAACGTTTTGAAGATTGAGGGTAATAGGCATAATAGACATGTTTCCCCATACAGATTAATATAACTGGTGCAATATGATGAGATCCAGGTCCGTGAAAGTAACTGCTCTGTTACCAGAAATGGGAAGATGACAATGTCCTATCTGTATGAAATCCAGCCATCCCACTACTGAGGGGAGAAGAGATTATAAAATCTATTGAAATCATGAGCTTCTGTTTGTGAATCATGAGTAGGAAGTGGGTTTTCTCCTTAATAAATTATCAAAGTACAAATGAACAGAAGCAGAGCAAGAGTGTGCCTAACAGAGAACGGAGGACTGAATTTATTCAGTAAATGTATGGTTTTGGCCTGGCTATTACCCTGGATGATCCTGGAGATATAATTTAATCCCTCTGAGCTTTCCCATTCTACTGTTGAAATCTGTGATTTACTGGCGAAAGGTGCTGTAGAATAGTATTATTTGGTGTTATTAAATCGCTTAGAATGCATATATGAAATAGAACATTCATTCTTAGAAACCATATATGAATGAACATGCATGAGTGGGTGATGTTTACCCGAGAGAGAAATAGCGCTGCTACGTGGTGTACTTCGTATGGTTAACAGAAGTCATGAGAGATCTGGCATGGTGTCACTCAGCTAGCTGAAGACACAGCTTATGACATGTCTTTCAGCCTCCCAAAGTGGTGTGCCACATGCTTAGGTCACGTAACAGAATGGGAAAAGTTGTGGTAGCTGGTGTGTGCGAGTGGCCAGGGTAGTGCCCATGCTCTGGGTGCTTTGCGCTGCTGACAAGACAGTCAGAAAGCTGACCCATGATGTTCGAGAAGAATCTTTCACTGTAGGTGTAATCAAATCCCCAAGGGCTATAGAGGCAGGTCTGAATTAAAGCAGGGGGTATTCCACTTCACCATATTTTGATCCTGTGCAATGCTCCTACTAGGACTAATTAAGCTAGTAACCAGGCAGTGCTAATATAGTCATGGAGGCTCTTTTGGTTTCTAGCCAAGTCAGGAGTGGGGGGAGCAGAAACATGGCTCTGAG